CCTGCGGCCACAAGCGGGACAGCCGGCCAGTGAACCTCCATTCCGTGGCCGCTGAGAGCCAGACACAGTGGAGTTATTTATTGGTTGTTTTTGGTTTTTTGGTTTTGTTTTTTTTTTTTCTTTTTTTTTTGTTGTTGTTGTTGTTTCGTCTTTTGTTTGGTTGGGTTTTTTTTTTGATGGGTTGGATATGGCTAGGAAGAAAGACTAAAGGCTTTGTGGGTTTTGGGTGGTTCAGTGGGGTGATTCCTTCCACTGAAAAGGAAAATCTAAAAGGCTTTTCTTTGGCTGCAGAATTAAAAACTGTGTTTTCTTTCCTAGTATTAGTGAATCAGTTACTGGAAAAGATAAAAAAATAATAAAATATTAATTACAGCTGTAAAATATCACATTGAAAAAGATGAATTTGTTGGACAGCCAAAAGACAGTATCTACACAAAAAACCAAACCAAACCACACCAAAAAAAACAACACTTTGGACAGCCCCAGAAGATCTTTTTTCTTAATAACAGGCAGAGGCTAAGAGATCATAGCAGAAAAAAAACACCCCATAAAATCCCACTGTGGAACAGCCTAACTTCTGCAGTTCTTTTTTTTTTTTCCCTTATGATGTAATTGCAAAGAATAAAAAATGAAACCAAAATGCCTAGATACAGATGATGACTGCTTTTTGAATCTTTACAACATTCTCACATGCCTAGGGAAAAACAGGTGCTGTTAGAATTGGTTTGTGCCTCTGAGTGCTTAAGGGAAGTCAAATGTGCTTTCCTTTCTAGGAATGACTTCCCTTTCTGCCCCTCAACTAGTATAATATATTAGCATACTGCCACGACATATTTCTGATACTGAAATGCATGAATTTGAAAAAGAAACTTAACCTAAAGCATTTGACTGCTTTTGGTTTTATGGCTGCATAAGAAAGAATTAGTAGATCTAAAAATCTAAATTATTTGTCTATACAGGTCTTTATTACAGGCTTAAATAATTTCAGAGAATTTACTGTGGAATGATAACTGCTGGGACTCAGGTGATTTCAATTCTGTGCCATGAGGCAGCTGCTGGACACAGCTGTGTACATAGAGACAAGACTGGTCAGCACAAGAAAATTCAGCACCTCCTAAGTCTCATCCCTCAGGTTAATCAATGGCAGACCAAGGAATAAACACCATGAAAATAAAAGCAGAACACCAAACACAAGTATATTTACACCACTGTGCAACAGATCACCAGCAAGAGAGAAACTGCAAAGAGGTCAGTAGCAAAACAAGATCAAAAAAGCAGAACTGCCAGCCAGAAACACTGAAGTATTTCTGGAACAAGAAAGGCTGGAGACACCAGATAAAATTAAAAATACTCCAATTTCTAATGTATATGATGTATATGATTTCTATCCTTTGCTCTCCATTACTTGAAAACTTATGTGACAGTCTTCTTTTTTGAAAGAATCCTATATGAAATATTTCTCTTTTTGGTAGTAAGTTTTCTTTCTTGTGATACAAACAGCAAATTAAGGACTACTTCAAAATAGATATCCACAATCCATATTTTGAATTAACCAAGCTAGTCATAATACTTATATCCAAAGATACAAATTTAAAATTGCATCCAACTCCAGGCACTTTCCATTAACAAACACCATTATAAACATATTGTATGTGATCACTTAAAAGGCAGAACTTAGGAGAAAAGTGATGTAACCTTTCAAACCAGGATTACAAAGACATTGTGGATTTCAAAATAAGTATCACAAGAAGACAGTGGGCATGTTTCATGCATATGGTCCTACTTACCAGTCCACACAAAAGAATGATCTTATCAATAGAATTAATTTCTTTATGTCAAATTAACATTTGTGGTGAAAGGTGGGCAAGTCCCTCAGATGTCAGAACAAAGAGCATACAAAAGAATATTTCATGCCCATCTAAACTAGCTGAAAAATCACAAAAATTTGCAAAGAAAAACCCCACAAAAAATCATCTCTCCATATGACGCCTTGGGCACAAGCTGTGATTTATTCATGTGTGCAAGCAGTACTTGTCAAACTCATCTAACAAAGAGAGTCATCGCCCAAATTAAAGATAAACATATATACACAAAGTACCAGCTATACCCTTAATTAAGAAGTAGCCATGATTGGATCAAAAAGAATCACTTAATTGCTATAAATATGTTCAAGGAGAACAGATTTTTAGTTAGTCATAGAGAGCTATGTCATTTTAACATAGCTCTCCTTTAAAGACTAATTCAAAAACTAGTGAAAAATTAATGTTTTTCATAAGTGAAAAACTAGTGTTTTTCCCTAATTTCCCAGCCCCTAGGATTAATAATACTGAAATATTAATATAGGATGATACATTTTCTCATACTATCTACTGCATTTATGAATACCACAGCAACACTGTACAGAAGACCTACTGAAAAGAGACAATTTTGCTATATAGTCTTACACTATTAAGAGCAGGATTTGAGGATTTTTTAATGGAACTGGTTCTGAGAAAAGTCTCTGGGAGAGTTACAGATTACCCTGAAGAGAAGGATACATTCCAGTTCACAGTGCTGGAAAGGTGAGGATGGTGAAGGATAAAAGTTTCTGACAGCACTGGTTTGCTTAAAATTTTGTGAGTGCTAACATGACAATTCGCTGCAACAGAGATTACAATATTGCTTAGGCAGCATCTTCTAAGAAAATACCCACATTCCACCCATAAACCAAAAAGTTTTTACCTATGACTTCCATCCAGATTTGATTTGTGGATGAAATTCAGTTTAGCATCTGCCCAATAGAGCTTCTGTTCCTCATAATCCAACGTCAGACCGTTTGGCCAATATATGTCTGTGTTAACGATAATGGAGCGGCTTGAACCATCCATCCCAGCTCGTTCGATCTTCGGCGCTTCTCCCCAGTCTGTCCAGTACATGAACCTACAATTATTTGAAAAGAGAAAAGACAAAAAAAGAAAGCAATCATGTATAAATCTACAACTTTCAGTAAAGACAAAGGCACTCTCTGTTCTGCAGAGACAATATCTGTGGAGCTCTGCTCTACTGGGTAAGGGGTACATACCCTGTGAAACAAAGCAAAGTTACTTTCGAAAAGCTGAAGAAAAACAACTTAAGACAAACCCACCATACTATATGAGGTTATACGTCAATATGCTTCTTTCTTTCCTTGGGTCAACTGAGAAAGTTGGAGATACCAAACAGATCTCAACAACCATCTCAAAATTCATCATTAAACAGCAAAGGTAGATATTACAAATTGTCATGAAAGTATAACAGCTAATCTAATATATGTCAGAATTTAGGTGGCCACAGAAGAAGGTGTGCAGACTTAAAGCAGACATAGTTGCATGTGATGCAGTGCAGTGGTTTTGTTGGAAGATCAATTAATGTTCTTTTATTTCCAGAGAAATTCCAAGACAAGCAGGTAAGTCAAGTGGTTTAGAAGTACAGCTTGCACCCAGTAACTGAGAAAAAATACTCAGTAAAATCTTTTAAATCTGGATAAGAAAGTTTTAAAACATGTAACATGTATCAATTTTTAAACATTATTTAACAAGTAGTGGGGAGAGGGAAACTACTCAGTTGCAATTAAGATTGAGGCAAAGCAAGGGAAATCACTATTTTGGCTGGAGACTACCAGGGGGTAAGAATATTTGTGCTTTTCCTGCAGGTGGTAGAAAATGGATTTACTTCTGTGGGTTGTTGACAGAATGCATAGCTAAACGGAAGTAACACAGAATATAAACAGATCAGCCAAAGTGTATCCAGGGTGCTTGCTCTGTTTTGTTGTTGCAGCTGGAACCGACTACTGTCCTAAATTGCTTCTCATAACATCTGCCAGCATTACCTGCTTGTATCTCTGCTCCATAGCCTAGGTCAGTCAAAACAATCCAGATTAGGAAAAACCTGAAGTCTTTAATCAAACTCAGATCATCACACAACCACAACAGGTCAGTATATGGTAGCCACATGTGAAGAGGCCTAGCCACTCATCCTCTAAAGAAAAACAAATGTGCAACACAGTTAAAAAATACTTGCAGATGAAGTTATTCTTGGTAAGAATTTATTCTTACTCTTACTCTTATTTTTATTTATATTATTTTAAAGAGTCAGGAAATTCCATGTCCTATCTTCCCCCTTAATTGATGTCTACAACATGTTTGTTTTAATGTGCAGCAAAACCTGTGGACAGAAATGCAGCTGATTAACACAAATACTGTCCTATTTGATCCCAAGTGAGTCATTCTTCATGGAGCAACACGTTTATCTTAACACAGAGCACAAAAATATCTGAAGAGAACATGTGAGATTTCTGTAGGCATAAACAAATGCCTCAAATAAACTGGCTTTTCACCAGGAAGAAGGACAAGCCCCAATTAATTTTCAGACAGGTAGCACAGGAGCAGGACACCTGGTCAAGCTATGCAATAAGAAAATCACACTTGAAAAACTAAATGTTAAAAAAAAGTCAGGCAGCATTTCACCAGTGATCATGTGAGAAAGAAATGAGAAAAATAGAGATTTACTTTTAACTTCTTTAAGACAGCCCTGCTTTGCCCCAGCTGTCAAGTCTTAGACTTACAAATCAAGGTTAATAGGTTCCAAGGCTCTGACCAGCCTGCTGGACCAATGTTTTTGGGCTGAAGCAGCTCATTAATTGCTGTACACCCTCATATTCTTTCTTGTCTCATTCTCACCTCTCATGCATGCTGCAATTAATTACTCAAGCAAAAATAGGTAAAGGTAGTTTGGTAAGAAAGTAAAGGCTTCACAGACATCACAAAACCAGCCTTATTGCATTTGTCAAGAGGAAGACACACACACACACACACACAGAGAACTGGCTTTAAGATTCAGTAATATTTCCAATCAGCTCCAGTGACCTCTGTGCACTTTCTTCAGCAGTTTGCGTTTTTTCACTATCATGTTTGTTTTCCTCCACCTTGCTTGAATGTCTGTGTGTTTTAATGTCTCCACTAAAAATCTCTGGAACCAGCCATGCTCTAGCTGATGACAGCCATGCAGACAAGGTAAGGGCCATTCTCCCTCTTCCCCATTCATTCCCTCTTCAGACACATTTAGTTATTTCAATTAAAAAATAAAAATTAAAACTTAAAAAAAAAATTAATAAGTCACCACCCAAGCCCATGGGATAGAGCAAAGTATTAAGAGAAAAGTAATGTCTTGTGCTAAATCATCTAATTATACCTTGCAATACAATTAAAATCCAGGAATCTAGATTTTAATTTTACCAGCAGAGTCTGGAAATCTAAATAAAATCTAAAAGAAGAAGAAAAACAACAACAACAACAAAGTGGATTTATTTTTATATGTGCTTGTAACTTTCAGTATAACAGAGTTATGCTTCCTGCCAGAGAGTTAAGGAACACCAAGTATTTGATATACACTTACAGAAGACATGAAGGTTCTTAGTCTTAAATAAAAAATATTAGTTGGTGTTTTGTTTGACTGTGGCTGAAAATACTGGTTTATCTTAAAGTTTATCCCATCATTAAAAATTATAAACAAATAGAGAAAGAGTTTTGATAGTTCTCTATAAACTGTTTTCTATGCCTCTTTAGTTATTGCATTCTGGTGCATAAAGTGAATCCAGGCAATAAAACTTCCTTCTAAAAGGCCTCAGAAATCACTTTGCACTGTATAGTTGTGACTTCACAATTCTGATTTGCCTCAAATAGAAGGTTTTGCCATAGGAAAACAAAAACCCAACGAAACAAAAGGGATGAAACAGCAAGTCACAGTTCATTCTGCATGATGAACAAATCTAATAAGTAACAGAGCTTTTTTCCAAAAAGCCCATAGAGTCTAGGCACTCTGATGGCAGAATATCCCCCATCCAGAGAAGGAAGTTCACAGACTACCAATGCCAAGATGGCATGCTATAATTTAGCAGTGATTCCCGACTGTAAGCAGAGAAGGAGAGAAATTTATTGCCACTGTCCATCAACTTTGCAACTTTGTTATCCACAAATGTTCACTGTCCTGAATGTTACTCAGTTGCTTAATTGGGGCAGCTAATTATTTGGTGAGGTCCTTCACAGTGAAGGCCCCAACTCTGCAATTTGCTTGGTTCAGGCCCTAAGAACTTCTGAGCTCTACAGGGAGCTGCAAAACTTCAGAGCTTGCAGCAGCCCCTGTGGAGCTCATCAGCTCTGCAGTGGACCCTGTGAAACACAGCCTGCTCCAGCTCCAGCACTAACAGGACTGGCACTCCTGTTACCAATAAATACAAAGTTTTTGTATTTTGTATTTATAAAAAATACAAGGCACTGGAGTAGTTCAAGAAAACTAAGCACAATAAGTATGTTTGTTTCTTGAAAATAGCTCTTAATTTGAGAAGAAATGTTCAGGAGTTTACAAAAAGACAGTTGAATCAAGTGACCCTCCAGGTAGCTTAACAGAGACTCCTTCTGAAGCAGATTCGCAAAGGGAGGAAAACTGCAATCCAGAAGCAAACAGCAGTATTGAAAGACAGAGAAAATGGATGTTCAAATAAGGGGATTAAAAGTATGTCAGGAAGGTTTTAATAACAAGTTTCTCAACCAACTGCAAAAGTCAGAAAATATTTTTGGTCCTCCAGGAAGAGCAAAAAAAAATGTACATATAAATTAAATATGGAAATAATTCTTCATAAATGAGAGGAAGAACTATCCTTTGGGGATACAACAAAGATAAACATGGCTAGCTGAGAACTGTACTCTTTTACAATAGTTTGTCTCTGTAAATAAGTATATTAGATGATTGAGTATTAGTTGAATGTAATTTTCAGAGCTGCTTTACAATAATATGTTAATATTCAGTGAAGTCAACACCATTTTCTGTGCAAATCTGCAGCCTTTTGTTTGCCTCTACTCTACTCTTGCACATACTAAGAGCAGCTATGTGAGGAATGGATATAAATTAAGAAGGGAACTGTTAACACCCTAACACACTGAATCTTTTACTTTTTACCCTTGTTTTGGGTTCAGAAGCCAAAGGGTTCCAAAGAGAGCTGCATTTTCCCATTTCAGGTAGGCACGGCTGGCTCTGAACCACCTGCTTTAAGCATTGCTATGTACACTGGACAAAATCAACTCAAAATTTCTTACACTGAAAATCAAGCCTTTTTTATTTCACTCTTCTGCAAGGCATCAGCGTGTCTAGTAAATGACTAAATGACCCAGATGTGCTGAAAATGCTTGACAAGCAAGCACCAGTGTCCCCAGCTGTGCCTCTGTAACTGTCCCCACCCTGACCCTCTATCCTCATCCCTTGCACCTTGGGGACAGTGGAGGATGAGCACAACTCCACGAGTGCTTGGATCTCAGCTACTGAATTCCACAGCACAGACCGTCAGCATCAAACCTAGACAGGGGTCTCTGTGCAGCAATGGAACACAATGACCTGTGACAGGAACACCTCAACATGGCATCACTGCACACACAGCAGGAAGCTGTGCAGGAACAGGGGTCATTGTGGATAAATTACTGCAGCCTCTGCAGCTCACTTGTCAGAGATGATACAAGACTTACCTGACAAGTGGGAGAAACCCATGTGTAAAATTTCATGTGTAAATCTGATATACACACCAGGAAAAGCTCTATTGGGACTTTTATTTTGTAAGGCATACAAATATTTTGTCCAGTATACTCTATACTGGTTCCCTCAAGATGAAGGTGCTGTTCTGGTGATAGCACTTTAATGCAAATGTCTGCATTTATCCTAGGACATCAGGCAGGATATTAATCAAGCAAAAGCCATCTGTAACCAGAATGGCAATCTGAGGATTTCCACTTTGGAGCTGGTTTTACTCCTCTACTCAGACCTTATATAGCAGGAGAAATAAAGTCATCACCAGACCTTCCCTTTTCTTGGAATCCATTTCTAAAATAAGGAATAAATGCAAACATTCCACTTTT